TAAAACTGTGCATGCATGTAATATATTTTATATGAGTCACATTTAAGAACATGTCTCTGAAATGGTTTTCAAAACAATCCTGGAGCACCGCGTCTCCCTCATCTAACACACCTGATTTAACTCGTCAGTTCATTACTAGAGACTTTAAGACCTGAAGTGGGTCAGAAATGGTAGAGAGAGTTGAGATAAAATACGATGCGTGTCAGATTTAGAATTTAGTGTTTAATAACTTCAATTTCAATTTCTGTATAGTTTTGCTGAAGGGCACAGATAAATATGACATTTATTATAATGGGTTTATGTGAAGAATGTTTTAAGTTCACTTAAATTAGAAGTTATTTTTTTAAAGTCTGATAAATGTTCAAATTGATAGCTCTCAATTATACTGTAATGTTGAATGGCTATAGTCAATGCTACTTAGATGGTATAATCACGTTAAGTGCAAGTTTAAGAGCAACAAAAACTTTTGAATTTCCCGACATTAGAAAGAAATACAGTAATATTAAAACACTGAAACTGGATCAGTTTTGAAAACGACGTTTGATTTTCTGTTATTAACAGAGGTGGGAATATCTGTAATCACCCAGAACAAACTCTATCAACCATATACTTGCAATATAAAAGTATATTTAAAAACTTTAATGTTAGATGGTATTAATCGCGATTAAGAAAAAAATGTGCGATTAATTAGTTCATTTTTTTTTATCGATTGACAGCATTAAGATATATAGTCTCTTATGTGCACCAAGCAGGGGCGGATCTAGAAAATAATTTTTAGGGTGGCAAAGGGGTGGCATGGGGTCTATGAGGGGTGGCAACACCAAAGCAAGCCCCCATGCATAGTTTTTGGGGATTTATGGTCTGACATACACAGTTGTGTTCACAAATATTGTATTACCATTAAGTAATCATCTGTACTAACAACATTTCAATATCCATCATGGAACCAAGTCAATACACAACATAAAAAACTTAGGTTATAAATGTTTCTGAGCTTGTATCACTAAAGAAGACATGCGGTTCTATTAAAATTACATAGGCTACTTAGATGGTATAATCACGTTTAATGCAAGTTTAAGAGCAATAAATATTTTTGAATTTCCTGACATTAGAAAGAAATACAATAATATCAAATAGCAACCAACTAGCAACACTTTAGCAAACATCTAGAACATCTAACTGACCAAACCATTTACGTTTTTTAAACAAGACTTTAAGACAAGCCAGCATAGATTTGTCTTTCAAACTTTTCAATCTAGTTATTACAGTTTTTCTTACAGGTTTTTTGTACTGCTTACACACATTTTCAAAACTTTGCCTCTTTTTTTCCAAACTTTACAGACAAATCCAAGAATTGCACACACAAAATGCAAAATGCCTCACATCTCTTGCAAAATGAAGCACTGCATTCAAAATATCACAAACACATCTCAAAAGCAAACATTTGCAAACACCTTTGCCATAATATTAATTCCTGTTAAATTTTTGTGTGTTACATAGAGAATTGTGTGTTGTGTTTTGAAAAATTGAAAAATTGAAAGGCCGAGAATTAGTATATGATTTTGCAGATTTGGTGTGTGGTTCTGGTGTTTGTGTCAGGTTTCAGAAATTGTGTGACAAGTAAAGATTTTGTGTGTAAGCAGTTGAAAAACTTAACTGTAAATGCTTACAATTCAAATACACAGATGACTTTCCTGCCCAGTGAACACTGAGATCAATAACACTGTAACAAAACTCTTACGATTCAGAAATTATTTTTGCAGCTCAATGTCTATTACAGTATACATCAATTAAATTACAGATACAGATGTATAATTCAGCAATGAACTTTTGGGGAAAAATCATTTTCATTTTACTACTGTAAAGTAATCTTGCAGTAGATGAAAAGCACTAGAAAAGTTCACTGTTCACATACCAAAGAATTGTATGAACTTGGTATGCAATACAGTACAGTAAAAAATAAATTTTAAAAAAGTAAATGTAGCATCCTTTGCATATTTGGCCAAATTTCATTACAATATACAGTACTATAGCAGTTTCTTGGTCTCCTGACAAAAGACTAGCTATATTTCTAGGCAGTCATTGCTCAGTTCGGCAAAAATGCAGTACACATAAAAAAATGGTTACAAATAAAATTTGACAGTCACACGCTTGAAGGTGTACAACATGTGCTACAGTCGCTTGAAGGTGTACAACATATGCTACAGTTTACTGTACATATAGAATAGTGAAATTTTCATTATCTATTGTACTGATACTGTACTGTAATTATACTGTATGTGTAAGTATAAAACCCCTTAGCTCAGCTCTCTCCTCTCTCCGTTGTTAGCATGCAGAGATTCTGATTGGTGTGTCATCAGTTTTGCTACCTAATGTTTAACTTACTCATTGTTAAACTTTTTGAGAAATGTGTCTTTGTTTTGAAAACGGAATTAATTGTTTGGAAAAAAAGTGGCAACTAAAATCAGTTATATGTTAACAATCGAGAAAACTGCAATACGAATAGATTCTTACCTAACTCTGCTATTAGTTTCCGTGATCGGCATCTTCTTATTGATTTCATGTTATTGTTATTGTGACATTTCTTAGGGTGGCAGTTGCCACCCCGTGCCACCCCGGTAGATCCGCCCCTGGCACCAAGGCTGCATTTGTTTGATCAGAAATACAGCAAAAACAGATACTGTGAAATATGTTTATAATTTAAAGTGATGTTTTTCTATTTACATATATTTTAAAATGTAATTTATTTCTTTGATGCAAAGCTGAATCTTCAGCATCATTACTCCAGTCTTCAGTGTCATATGTTGCTTCAGAAATCATTCTGATATGATGATTTGGTGCTCAAGAAACATTATTATTATTAATGTTGCAAACAGTTGTGCTGCTTCATATTTTTGTAGAACCGTAATTTTTTCCAGGATTCTTTGAAAACAACAGCATTTGTTTGAAGTATAAATCTTTATACAACATGATAAATGTCTTTACTGTAACATTTGATCAATTTAAGTGTCTTTGCTGAATAAAAATATATATATATTTTTTAACCTGATCCCAAAATTTTGAACGGTAGTGTATATGCTGTGTTAGGGATGGACGATATGTCACTGTTCACTGGTATATAACATGCTCTCTGGGCGAATACCACCTATAAGGTGAAAACTGCTTTGTCAGTCCTCTGGCCTTATAAAATGCATATTTTTTTAATCAATTTCTCGTGTTGGGGGAAGTCAACAGGGGCACACTGAATATTTATTCACCTTCCTCTGAGCACAGGAAGTATTATTCAGTCATTGTGCACAGAATCCAGCAATATCAGCTTTACTTTATGCTGACTGGCCAGTACCCATTTTAAGAGAGTTTATGAGTCATTTAAAATGTTCTGGTGCCCTGAATAAAACAACGGCCTGTGGATATATAATTTAAGTTGATATTCAAGGCGTAGTTAGTTATTTACATAAAGGATCTGATATAAATCCGAGGAAAAACATCATATTCGTTCATGTCATGGAAAGCATTGTTTCAGAACTCGCACTGATTTAATATTCAAATTTATCTAACAAAAAAGTCTGAGGCCACATTTAAAATATGGGCTACAAAATGTAAATTAGGTTTTAGGATTTTGAACAATTTCACTAAAATTGTTGTGATGCTAATATAATTGGTAATCGGTTTATTAATTTTTTCTTTTAACATTTTATTATTTAATTTTTATTGCTATTTTATTTATTAATGCCTCGTTTGTAATGGGTTTTCATGTTTTTGTCTCGTTGCTCCTGCCGGACACGGCATCATCACAATATGGCAAGGGGCGTAACATTTCCGTCTCACGCTTGAGGTATTCGGCCAATCACAACGCACTGGATAACTGGCCAATCAGAGCACACCTCACTTTTTCAGACCGATGAGCTTTGTAAAAATCGACGCGTTTCAAAAAGGCGGGGCATAGAGGAGAAACAATAATGTACAGTATGTGGAAAATAATGCGTTTTTTTTACTTTAAACCGCATAAACACATTTCATTACACCAAATACACAAAATAATGTTCTTTTTAGCAGCATCATATGACCCCTTTAATTAAACTGTAATTCTCTTATGTTTGAACCTTTTTTCCTCATCCCAGGAGTACCACTCAAGGAGCTTTTAATTGCGCTAACAAAAATAAGAGTGTTCTCTCATCTTCATGTAAATAACCAAACCCCCACGGGCCACCGGCCCTTATCACAAAGATACGTGTTATTAGCTTTTTCATCTTCTGTCACTTTACCTTCGTATTCCCTTTGCGTTTGCCAGTGTTTATATGTGTGTACGTGTTTGTCAAACTCCTGGGCAATCTCCAACACAGAATGAAGTCTGATCGGTCCTCCTGATATAAGGGTCATTCTCACCGACCTCTTAAATTATATTCCTGCATACCTATATATTAAACCTCTGCTACACGAATGTTTCTATCCATTGCACTCAGCCAAAGGGACAAATAGAGAAGGATAGAAG